TCAAGGACTATTAGAGCATTAGGCGTGGATTTTTTAAATAATTTTTTTCAAGGACTATTAGAGCATTAGGCGTGGATTTTTTAAATAATTTTTTTCAAGGACTATTAGAGCATTAGGCGTGGCTTTTTTAAATAATTTTTTTCAAGGACTATTAGAGCATTAGGCGTGGATTTTTTAAATAATTTTTTTCAAGGACTATTAGAGCATTAGGCGTGGATTTTTTAAATAATTTTTTTCAAGGACTATTAGAGCATTATGAAATATCGCCAGGAACACAATATACAACGTCCGGACATGATCAATTTGCTAATGGAAGCTAGAGGTATGATACCCACGGAGGTGCAGAAAACCCATTTCCGTCAATGGACTGATATGGAAGTTGTGGCTCAATGTTTGGCCTTCCTCTTCGCCGGCTTCGAACCATCTTCGGGTGTAATGAGTTTTTCTGCCCATGAGCTGATGGAGAATCCTCAGGTTCAAGAAAAACTCTATGAAGAAATTCATGGAGTCGACGAAGAGTTACACGGTAATCCGGTCACATATGAATTGTTGCAAAAAATGCCCTATATGGAAATGGTTGTATCGGAGGTGTTAAGAAAATGGCCAGTGGCGGGAGTAACAGATCGTATATGTAATAAAGATTTTGAATATGTGTCAAAGGACACTGGCGAACGTGTGGTCGTAAAGAAAGGTGAAAAGGTGCGAATTTCTATGTGTGGCTTCCAACGGGATCCAAACTATTTTGAAAATCCCAATGTCTTTGATCCGGAACGTTTTAGTGCGGAAAATAAAATGAAAATAGATCATGGTACTTATTTGCCATTTGGTGTGGGTCCACGTAATTGTATTGGTAATATTTTGATTTTCTATTAATTTGTTCCGTATTGGAAATAATATTGAATTTATTTTTTGTTGTAGGCACTCGTTTTGCCTTATTGGAGGTTAAGGTGTTCCTTTACTATTTGTTGCGTGATTATCAGCTGGAGCCATGTGCCAAGAGTTGTATACCGTTGGTCTTAGATCCTACAAAAATGCAATTGTTACCCAAAGGTGGTTTTTGGTTGAAACTGAAACCAAGGAAAGGTTAAATTGTTTTTTTTTCACTATTTTCAATAAAAATTGTAAAATATTTGTTAATATATGAAGTATTTATTTATGTAAATATAAATAAAAAATATTCAGTAATAGTGCGCAGATTTTTGAAATAATTTATTTCAGGGACCATCACAGCTATAGGCGTGGATTTTTTAAATAATTTATTTCAGGGACCATCACAGCTATAGGCGTGGATTTTTTAAATAATTTATTTCAGGGACCATCACAGCTATAGGCGTGGATTTTTTAAATAATTTATTTCAGGGACCATCACAGCTATAGACGTGGATTTTTTAAATAATTTATTTCAGGGACCATCACAGCTATAGGCGTGGATTTTTTAAATAATTTATTTCAGGGACCATCACAGCTATAGGCGTGGATTTTTTAAATAATTTATTTCAGGGACCATCACAGCTATAGGCGTGGATTTTTTAAATAATTTATTTCAGGGACCATCACAGCTATAGGCGTGGATTTTTTAAATAATTTATTTCAGGGACCATCACAGCTATAGGCGTGGATTTTTTAAATAATTTATTTCAGGGACCATCACAGCTATAGGCGTGGATTTTTTAAATAATTTATTTCAGGGACCATCACAGCTACAGGCGTGGATTTTTTAAATAATTTATTTCAGGGCCATCACAACTATAGGCGTGGATTTTTTAAATAATTTATTTCAGGGACCATCACAGCTATAGGCGTGGATTTTTTAAATAATTTATTTCAGGGACCATCACAGCTATAGGAGTGGATTTTGTTAAATAATTTATTTCAGGGCCATCACAACTATAGGCGTGGATTTTTTAAATAATTTATTTCAGGGACCATCACAGCTATAGGAGTGGATTTTGTTAAATAATTTATTTCAGGGCCATCACAACTATAGGCGTGGATTTTTTAAATAATTTATTTCAGGGACCATCACAGCTTTAGACGTGAATAGGTTCAAATATTTAATATTTAATATATATATATATATATATACAAATCTGTATATAGTATATATATTCACAAACAAAGAAAAATAAATATTATCTTGACTTCGCCAGTCGTTAGCAATCCTTCACATAATTATTAATTTTTATTAATAATCTATAAGTCGAAACGAAAACATTGCTGCAAACGTTTAGCGGAGCGACTAACTAATTGGTTAATTTGCGGAAAACGCAAACATGTTGTTGGAAATAATTGCATTTGCTTTAATTGCTGGTGCTTTGTTTTACTATTGGGCCACCAAGAATAATAATTTCTTTAAAGAACGAAATTTGGAATATGAAGAACCACGGTTTTTGTTTGGCAACAGTTGGGAGATGTTGATGAAACGTAAGACGGGTTTTGAGTTTCTCTGTGAAGTACATCAACGACATAAGGGAATGTAAGTTCGTTGTATTTGTTTGTATCTATGTAGATTTAAATATATTTCCATAATTGTAAAATTACAGGGTCTATGGAGCGTTTGATATGCGTCAGCCGGTCTTAATGATACGTGATCCAGAATTGGTTAAACAAATTTTAATAAAAGATTTCGATCATTTTGTAAATCGCCAGGTATCGAGTTCAGGGGCCACGGAGAATTTATTTTCCCATTCGTTGTTTATGATGGAAAATGATAAATGGCGTGATATGAGAAGTACATTGAGTCCCGCATTTACCGGTAGTAAAATGCGTCAAATGTTCCAGTTGATGGTACAGACGGTAGATGAGGCCATGGCATATTTAAGAAGTCAACAAAAGTCGATTGAGGGTATCGATGTCGACATGAAAGATTTAACTACGCGTCTGACAAATGATATAATTGCCTCGACGGCATTTGGTCTGCAGGTGAATTCATTTCGTGATAAGGAAAATGAATTCTATATTAAGGCTAAGCGGGCTGTCAGCTTTACGGGTTTGCAGCAGGTGAAAATGCTGTTTATTGTTATCTTTCCAAAGTTGGCGGAGGTAAGTTGGAGGGAGGAGGATTTAGTTTTATATACACAAGACTTTTTTTATAAGAAAAAATATAATTTATTTGAATGATTAACTGAGAGATATGTGCGAATTTTTAAAATAATTTTTTTCAAGAACTATTAGAGCATTAGGCGTGGATTTTTTAAATAATTTATTTCAAGGACTATCCAACCAGGCGTGGATTTTCCAAATAATTTTTTTCAAGAACTATTAGAGCATTAGGCGTGGATTTTTTAAATATTTTTTTCAAGGACTATTAGAGCATTAGGCGTGGATTTTTTAAATAATTTTTTTTCAAGGACTATTAAAGCATTTGGCGTGGATTTTTTAAATATTTTTTTCAAGGACTATTAGAGCATTAGGCGTGGATTTTTTAAATAATTTTTTTTTCAAGGACTATTAGAGCATTAGGCGTGGATTTTTTAAATAATTAGAGCATTAGGCGCAGATTTTTTAATAATTTTTTTAAGGACTATTAGAGCATTAGGCGTGGATTTTTTAAATAATTTTTTTTTCAAGGACTATTAAAGCATTAGTCGTGGATTTTTTAAATAATTAGAGCATTAGGCGCAGATTTTTTAATAATTTTTTTAAGGACTATTAGAGCATTAGGCGTGGATTTTTTAAATAATTTTTTTTCAAGGACTATTAGAGCATTAGGCGTGGATTTTTTAAATATTTTTTTAAGGACTATTAGAGCATTAGGCGTAGATTTTTTAAATATTTTTTTTCAAGAACTATTAGAACATTAGGCGTGGATTTTTTAAATAATTTTTTTTCAAGGACTATTAGAACATTAGGCGTGGATTTTTTAAATAATTTTTTTTTCAAGGACTATTAGAACATTAGGCGTGGATTTTTTAAATAATTTTTTTCAAGGACTATTAGAACATTAGGCGTGGATTTTTTAAATAATTAGAGCATTAGGCGCAGATTTTTTAATAATTTTTTTAAGGACTATTAGAGCATTAGGCGTGGATTTTTTAAATAATTTTTTTTCAAGGACTATTAGAGCATTAGGCGTGGATTTTTTAAATAATTTTTTTCAAGGACTATTAGAGCATTAGGCGTGGATTTTTTAAATAATTTTTTTTCAAGGACTATCAGACTCTTAGGCGTGGATTTTTTAAATAATTTTTTTTCAAGGACTATTAGAACATTAGGCGTGGATTTTTTAAATAATTTTTTTTTCAAGGACTATTAGAACATTAGGCGTGGATTTTTTAAATAATTTTTTTCAAGGACTATTAGAACATTAGGCGTGGATTTTTTAAATAATTTTTTTCAAGGACTATTAGAGCATTAGGCGTGGATTTTTTAAATAATTTTTTTCAAGGACTATTAGAGCATTAGTGGATTTTTTAAATAATTTTTTTCAAGGCGTGGATTTTTTAAATAATTTTTTTCAAGGCGTGGATTTTTTAAATAATTTTTTTCAAGCTATTAGAGGCTTAGGCGTGGATTTTTTAAATAATTTTTTTCAAGGACTATTAGAGCATTAGGCGTGGATTTTTTAAATAATTTTTTTCAAGGACTATTAGAGCATTAGGCGTGGATTTTTTAAATAATTTTTTTCAAGGCGTGGATTTTTTAAATAATTTTTTTCAAGGCGTGGATTTTTTAAATAATTTTTTTCAAGGCGTGGATTTTTTAAATAATTTTTTTCAAGGACTATTAGAGCATTAGGCGTGGATTTTTTAAATAATTTTTTTCAAGGCGTGGATTTTTTAAATAATTTTTTTCAAGGCGTGGATTTTTTAAATAGTTTTTTTCAAGGACTATTAGAGCATTAGGCGTGGATTTTTTAAATAATTTTTTTCAAGGCGTGGATTTTTTAAATAATTTTTTTCAAGGACTATTAGAGCATTAGGCGTGGATTTTTTAAATAATTTTTTTCAAGGCGTGGATTTTTTAAATAATTTTTTTCAAGGACTATTAGAGCATTAGGCGTGGATTTTTTAAATAATTTTTTTCAAGGACTATTAGAGCATTAGGCGTGGATTTTTTAAATAATTTTTTTCAAGGACTATTAGAGCATTAGGCGTGGATTTTTTAAATAATTTTTTTCAAGGACTATTAGAGCATTAGGCGTGGATTTTTTAAATAATTTTTTTCAAGGACTATTAGAGCATTAGGCGTGGATTTTTTAAATAATTTTTTTCAAGGACTATTAGAGCATTAGGCGTGGATTTTTTAAATAATTTTTTTCAAGGACTATTAGAGCATTAGGCGTGGATTTTTTAAATAATTTTTTTCAAGGACTATTAGAGCATTAGGCGTGGATTTTTTAAATAATTTTTTTCAAGGACTATTAGAGCATTAGGCGTGGATTTTTTAAATAATTTTTTTCAAGGACTATTAGAGCATTAGGCGTGGATTTTTTAAATAATTTTTTTCAAGGCGTGGATTTTTTAAATAATTTTTTTCAAGGCGTGGATTTTTTAAATAATTTTTTTCAAGGCGTGGATTTTTTAAATAATTTTTTTCAAGGACTATTAGAGCATTAGGCGTGGATTTTTTAAATAATTTTTTTCAAGGCGTGGATTTTTTAAATAATTTTTTTCAAGGCGTGGATTTTTTAAATAATTTTTTTCAAGGACTATTAGAGCAGTAGGCGTGGATTTTTTAAATAATTTTTTTCAAGGCGTGGATTTTTTAAATAATTTTTTTCAAGGACTATTAGAGCATTAGGCGTGGATTTTTTAAATAATTTTTTTCAAGGACTATTAGAGCATTAGGCGTGGATTTTTTAAATAATTTTTTTCAAGGACTATTAGAGCATTAGGCGTGGATTTTTTAAATAATTTTTTTCAAGGACTATTAGAGCATTAGGCGTGGATTTTTTAAATAATTTTTTTCAAGGACTATTAGAGCATTAGGCGTGGATTTTTTAAATAATTTTTTTCAAGGACTATTAGAGCATTTTTTTCAGGCGTGGATTTTTTAAATAATTTTTTTCAAGGACTATTAGAGCATTAGACGTGGATTTTTTAAATAATTTTTTTCAAGGACTATTAGAGCATTAGGCGTGGATTTTTTAAATAATTTTTTTCAAGGACTATTTTTTAGGCTATTATTTTTTTCAGGCGGATTTTTTAAATTTAGGCGTGAATTTTTTAAATAATTTTTTTCAAGGCGTGAATTTTTTAAATAATTTTTTTCAAGGCGTGAATTTTTTAAATAATTTTTTTCAAGGCGTGGATTTTTTAAATAATTTTTTTCAAGGCGTGGAATTTTTTAAATAATTTTTTTCAAGCACTTATTGGATTTTTTAAATAATTTTTTTCAAGGACTATTAGAGCATTAGGCGTGGATTTTTTAAATAATTTTTTTCAAGGACTATTAGAGCATTAGGCGTGGATTTTTTAAATAATTTTTTTCAAGGACTATTAGAGCATTAGGCGTGGATTTTTTAAATAATTTTTTTCAAGGACTATTAGAGCATTAGGCGTGGATTTTTTAAATAATATTCTATCAAGGCCTACAGGCGTGGATTTTTTAAATAATTTTTTTCAAGGACTATTAGAGCATTAGGCGTGGATTTTTTAAATAATTTTTTTCAAGGACTATTAGAGCATTAGGCGTGGATTTTTTAAATAATTTTTTTCAAGGACTATTAGAGCATTAGGCGTGGATTTTTTAAATAATTTTTTTCAAGGACTATTAGAGCATTAGGCGTGGATTTTTTAAATAATTTTTTTCAAGGACTATTAGAGCATTAGGCGTGGATTTTTTAAATAATTTTTTTCAAGGACTATTAGAGCATTAGGCGTGGATTTTTTAAATAATTTTTTTCAAGGACTATTAGAGCATTAGGCGTGGATTTTTTAAATAATTTTTTTCAAGGACTATTAGAGCATTAGGCGTGGATTTTTTAAATAATTTTTTTCAAGGACTATTAGAGCATTAGGCGTGGATTTTTTAAATAATTTTTTTCAAGGACTATTAGAGCATTAGGCGTGGATTTTTTAAATAATTTTTTTCAAGGACTATTAGAGCATTAGGGAGAATGCTTCAATATTGCGAGTTTTAGTGTTTTAGGAGTATAGTTACGTCCTTTTTGCATTAATAAAAAAGCATACTATTGTAGTTACGTCCGTTTGGATTTCTTTTATTAGATCGCTCTTTTTGACGTTAGATGTCTAACTTTTTGAGTGAACACAGAAAAAAAAATTGTAACCATTTGATAAAAAATTCAAAAATCCAATTAAAATTTGATTGATTTTTCGCCGATAAAAAAAAAATTGTAATCCCATTCGAAAATAGTTTGATAAAGCAATTCTCATATATACTAAAAATTTTGTTAATCGATAAAATATTTTTCATATTGACAATCTTGTTTATCAAATTATTATTATTATTTCAAATTAAATTTCTTGTAGTACGATACAAAACCTTTTAAACAGCAATTGCCAGATTTTACCCTTATTATTACAGCTCTCCCACAAAAATACCTCCAAATTTTCATATTTTAACGGCTTTAAACTAAATGAGCAATACGTGGCG